CGCCCTCATCGCGCTGGGCCGTCCGGCTCTCGACCACTGAGGCGGCCGAGCGCGCCCTGGGCCCACCTTCGCGGCGTTCTGATTGGCTGCAGGAGCATCGGCCCACCGCGCCCCGCGGGGTCCGCCGAGGCGAGCGGGCGGGGACCGCCGAGGCGAGCGCGCGGGGACCCGGGTCTGGGGCCAGAGCCCCGAGCCGTGGCGCGGGCGGCGTGCGGCGCGGTAGCGGTCATGACGGAGGGCACGTGAGTCCCCGCGTCCCGGGACCCCCGAGAAGGGAGGGCGCGTCGGGGGCGCCCGGAGCTCTTCCTCTGAGCTGCGTGCGACGGCGCCTGCCCGTGGGCTGGAGGAAGGGAGCGCGGCGGCCGCGGGGACGGGTGGGCCGGCGGCTCAGCCGAGCGCCCTCGCTGCCAGGTGCCTGCGTCGCCGAGGGGGCCCCTACAAGACGGAGCCCGCCACCGACCTCAGCCGCTGGCGCCTGCGCAGCGAGCGGGGCAGGCAGACGTGGACGTACCTGGCGGGGGAGGAGGACCCCGGCCGCGGGCAGACGGCGCTGGAGGCGCACTCCCTGGGACTGGACCCCGTAAGTGCGGCGCGGGGACCCGGCGCGGGGTGCCGAGGGCGGGAGGGAGCTTGCGTCAAGCGGCCGTGACCTCGCTAAGTGATGCGTGCGAACCCGCTGTGGTCTCCGAAGCGGAGTTCTCGGGCCGGTGCCCTCCCTGCGAGGAGTGTGCGCTGGAGGGGCTTCGCGCGGGGCCCGCCGCGGCGCGCACCCCACACGCGTGGGCGCCTGTGAGAGGGTGTGAAGAAGGTTGCAAGTAGGTGAGGGGACCCGGAGAACGTAGAACCTTCCTTCTCTTTGTTGAGCGGTACTTGCAGACTTTAGAGGGAACCGCGTGAAACCGACAAGTAACTCGGCTTCATTGCTGTGGCGTGGGCGGTCGGCGATGCGGGCTCCTGGCCTGGCCTCCGACCCCTGGGCTCCCCTCTCTTCTCTCCTTGGCAGGGGAGTTACTTCAGGGACCTGCCCAGAGCCGACACAGCCCGTGGAGGGGCTCTGAACGGGATGATGTTTTACGTGGGGCTGCAGGCTGAGGATGGGCACTGGGCGGGTGATTATGGCGGCCCACTCTTCCTCCTGCCAGGTAGGTGGCTGCTGCCCCGGCTTGTCGGTGAGGCCAGCCTGGGGCATCGTTGAGGCCCTGGCCAGGCCTGGGTCAGGCCCAGTTCAGGCCCGTGGTGAATGACGTGTGAATAGGCAGGTGAAAACCCGGGAGCTTGTTTGTGAAAGGTCTCTGGAGGGTTGCCCCGTGCCTGTGTCGTCCTGGTGTTGGTGCTGGGGGATGGGAGCCCGGTGTTCTCAAAAGGGAAGCCGGGGGTGCTCTTGTGGGGGCAGGGGAGGGGCGGCTCTTGAGTCCCAGTACAGAGAGGCAGACGCACTCCAGGTGGAGGACCTAGCCTCTGTAAAGATGTCAGAGATGGGCAGGTGATGGGTGGGGTCTTTTTTTTTTTTAAGATTTTATTTATTTATTTGACAGAGAGAGAGACAGCGAGAGCAGGAACACAAGCAGGGGGAGTGGGAGAGGGAGAAGCAGGCTCCCAAAGAGCAGGGAGCCCGATGTGGGACTCGATCCCAGGACCGCCGGGATCATGACCTGAGCCGAAGGCAGACGCTTAAAGACTGAGCCACCCAGGCGCCCCCATGCTTTTTATATTGCTGAAAAATATGGTGTTCTGTGGATATACCATTATGTGTTTATTTGTTAATCTGCTTATGGACATTTGAGTTGTTTCCAGTTTTTGGCTATTGAAAATACTGCTACACAGATTTTAATGCAGTTTTTCATATGCGTGTTATTTAGCTTGTGTTAATATCTTGGGTTCCAATGCCTGAATCACAGGGTAGATGAATATATAACTTTTTTTTTTTAAAGATTTTATTTATTTATTTGAGAGAGAGAGAATGAGAGACAGAGAGCACGAGAGGGAGGAGGGTCAGAGGGAGAAGCAGACCCCCGCTGAGCAGGGAGCCCGATGTGGGACTCGATCCCAGGACTCCAGGATCATGACCTGAGCCGAAGGCAGACGCTTAACGACTGAGCCACCCAGGCGCCCAAGATTTTATTTTTAAGTAATCTCTACGACCCAATGTGGGGCTCAAACCCACAACTCCAAGATCAGAGTTGCATGCTCTACCAACTGACTGAGCCAGCCAGGCGCCCGGATGGGTGGGATCTTTACGTCTTCTTTGGGCAGCTTGCATGTATGAACTTAACCTTGAAGGGGTGGCTGAGGGAGCTCAGGCAGGGAACCTGCAGGTTCAGTTGGTGAGTCCTAGGAGGATGGCATTTGGGCCTCCTGGGTACTGAACTGGTTTGGCTAGCTAAAACCATTATGTTCTGAGAATGTTTCACTAAATACTCAGCTGTGTAAGGTGAGAAATTCCCTTCTATGAATTTATGTAGAAGGACTCTTTTCTCCTAGTGGGAGGAGCTTTGGGAATCCATCATGCTTTTGTCTCCCCTGGGCTGTACAGCATTGTATCTTCTTGTTCAGGGACCTATGGGCCTGTCCTTAAGGGGCTCTTTCTTCCCTTTGGCCTCACCTGGAGCCTATTTAGACTATTGTCAGAGATCCTCATAGGGAGGCAGTGACACTGCATTTGCCTGCTCCGGGCAAGGTGACAGGACTTCACTGAGTCTCCAGCACCTCCCCGGTGACATGGGGATGATGAGAATCAGGCTAAGTCATACATGCACAACACCGGGGACAGCGGCATTGTTTCGTGCTTGCTGCTGCAGCTCTGGACCCCGCCTGCTGGGCTTCCTCCCCGGTGCAGGCTGCAGGCTGGGGCTTTCCCTTCCCCATTTTGAACTCTGGATAGACCGTCTTCCTCAGGTTGACACTGGTCTGTTCAGAGGTACTGCACAGGGTTTTTCCATGGCTGGCCGAGCTTTGACTGGTCTTTCCTTTTCCTGCTTTAATTTGGAAAATGCTCCTGGGGGCCATGATTCTGTATAGATAGTTCCCCATTGAGTGTGGTTCATGTGGCATTGACTATTCCCATGGGTCTTTATGGGAAGGCAGTGACATGGCATTGGCCTGCTCTGAACCTGGGCAAGGTGGTAGGACCTCACTGTGCCTTGGCTGCCTCATATGTGATGTGGGGAATCGGATTTGGTCATATGTGCACATATATGCATCACTGTGGTGAGCCCTGACTCTGTTGTCCAAACCCCTGGGCTCTAGCCCCTGCCCCACGACTTGGGGTCTGTGCCTCAGTTTTCTTGCCTGTAAAATGGGAAGACACTGGCTCTGTTTCTTGCCCATGTGTGTTTCTTTGTCTTGACAGCATCATGACTATAATGAAAAGAGATGGGCTTGAGTTGGGATGATTTTTTTCTGTGAACCTCTGCAGCATCTCCAAACCTAGCTGCCCTTCTTCCAGGGTGTGTCTCTGTGTGAGTGTGTCTTCCAGGGTTTCTGATGCCTCTGAGCCAGAGTCAGGCATGTGTCCATGGTGCGTTTTGGCTGGGGCCTACCCCAAGACACACACACCCCTCACCTCCCTTGCAGGGCACCACAGGCATGCGGCTGGGGGAGGAAGGGGTTGGGGTTGGGGATGGCCTGTGAGCAACATGTTCAGGAGGGCTAGGCTGGGAAGTTTCTTTTTTGTGGATAATATTTATTGGCCGTTGGCCATCTCCCCCATTTGCAAAGTGATATTTGCTAGGAAAAAACCTATAAAACAGAAAAACATAAGTCATAAATCTTATCCTATCCAGGGGAGAGCCATTTGGTGTTTCTTTTCCAGCAGGTGTGGACAGTACTGAGGGAGCCTAGAGTGGCTGGGAGGGCTTTGCACACCCCATGTTGTTGCTGTTCCCTGGGGCCCCACTCCCAAAGTCCCTGACGAGGCTGGGAGGAATAGCCTTCTCAGGCTCGTTTCCGTGAAAACGAGACCACTGGGTCAGCTCCCTGTAGGGTGGGAGGAAAGAGACCCGGGCTTAGCTGTGCTGAGTGCCTGCTCCCAGTGAGGAACATCTTTTCTGCCACATAGGCCTCCTGATCACGTGCTATGTGGCCCAGATCCCTTTGCCAGCGGGATATAGAGAAGAGATGGTGCGGTACCTGCGGTCAGTGCAGCTCCCGGATGGCGGCTGGGGCCTGTGAGTCGTTTTGTTGCTGCACATATGTACATGCATGTGCACACATGTTCTTATGTAGGACATACGCCTGTCAAGAGTAGGGTGAGTGGAGCTACTATGGACCTGGGGTGGGTGGGAGGAGAACGTGGTAGGAGGGAGACTGGCTGGGTGCTGTGTACCAGCTGGACCCTGGTGTCCTGGGGTTCTCAGGATAGGTGGCCGCACACTCTGGGCCTTGGTTTTACAGCTTGTGTTGTACCTGGGCTTTATGACTCACACCCCACGGAAAGCCATCTGGCTGTTATCACTAAGGCAGAAGGAAGTTCTTGACTCTGGGATGGATGGCAGCAGGTGGAGCCAGGGGGGCCAGGTGCCCCTCCCCAATTCTCAGTGTGCCTTTCTGACACATAGCTCACTCTGGGAGCAGAGCCTTCCCTCAGGGGGGTCAACTGCCTGCCCACCCTGGTCATGGGCTCTGGTACCTCTTGTTCTATACCGAGGGCTGGGGTTCCTCCTAGCGAGCTGAATCCACGCCAGAGGGGTTCTCCATCAGAATTCCTGGAGGACATCCCAGCCTCTGTTTGCCCCTTGACGGGGGCTGTGGGCCTCAATTTGTCACCTCTAGAGCTTGTTCTGTGCACTGTAGTGATGAAGGAGCCTGAGTTGGGTCACAGCCTGGGACTGATGTTGATTCAGGTGTGGGAAGTAAGAGGAGGCAGGCAGGTCCTGCACAGGCAGTTTTGGAACTGATCAGTTATGGGAGGTACATGGATTCTTATTGGAGAATGGCAGTTCTGGGTGTTTCTTACGTTGTCATGTTATGTCAGTGAAAGATATTTTAGCATTTTTTATTTTTCTCAGGAAATTTCGCAGAAAGTCTTGCTTAATTTCTTAGAAGTAACGAAATATGGCATTCTCTTATCCTATCTCCTACTCCCCAAGGCATGTGGAGGACAAGTCCACGGTGTTTGGGACTGCACTCAACTATGTGTCTCTGAGAATTCTGGGTGTCGGGCCTGACGATCCTGACTTGGTCCGAGCCCGGAACATTCTTCACAAGAAAGGTACTCCTTGCACAGCATGTCCTGGGTGCTCCTTCCTGCAGGTAGAGGCTGTGAATGTCTCTCTTGGGGCTAGACTCACTTATTCTGGTGAAGCCGCTGGTTCCACCCAGCAGCTGTGCTGTTGGGCTCTGGAGCCTACTTCTCACCTGGGGTTGGAGGATCCTTAGCACTGTTTTCAGTTCGTGCAAGAAGGGGGGGCGCATATGATTCCTGAGGAGCTGATCTTTACAGTAAGGCAGACGATACGGGACTTCTCTTTTCCGTAGGTGGTGCTGCGGTCATCCCTTCCTGGGGGAAGTTCTGGCTGGCTGTCCTGAACGTGTACAGCTGGGAGGGCCTCAACACTCTGTTCCCGGAGATGTGGTATGCTTGCCCTTCTGTGATTTGTGCCTGGGCTGCCGGTGCCTTCCTGAGTGGGCTGGCGGGCCCTGGGTCACTCGCTGCCTGTTACGCAGATGAGGGGGCGGTCCGTTCTGTGGTGTGAGGCCGCATTAGGCTCCTGGTGGAGGCCCTGCTTGGCTGAGTCCTGCAGACCCCAGTTGGGTAGGAAGGAGGGAGGCACTGTGGGCTTGGGCCGTGTGGCAGGTGAGTGGGGCCCCGCCAGGCTGGGAGAACCGCTGGTGTGGGGAGTGTGAAGCTCTGGCATTGTTGCCGAAGGCTGTGCTGTGTCTTGTCATTGTGGATGTTTTGAGCCTCTGTGGAAGCAGAAACAAGAAGGCAGTAGGCCGTGCAGCTCTTGCCAGCCTCAGCACTGGGGTGTGCTGTGCTTTTCTCTGTTCCTTATCTTTCTGCCGGTGAATGAGAAAGTTAATCCCAGACATCATACGTCAACTGTGAGCACTTCGGTGTGTATCTTTGAAAGAGAAGAATTTCCTTGTTAATAGAATCACAATGCTGTTTAAATACTCAGCAGGATCAACGCTAATTCCTTATTGTGTGATACTTCTAACCAGTGTCTTAGCACTTTGGGCATCTCCCCAGAAAACATGCATATGCATGTAAATCCCCCAGTGTCACCTTCAGGAGGTGAGACTCCTGGTCGAGCTTGGGTAGAGCCCCTGCTGGCTCCCTGGAGCCCTGTCAGCAATGTCGTGGCCCCCCAGGGAGCTGTCAGGGAGGTTGGGGGGCTGTTGTGTTAGACGACCTCGGTGGAGGTCGTATTAGGTGAAGGGTTCTGATGCCAGGGTTGAGGGACCAACCTCTGCAGCCTTGAGGGGTGGTGACGGGGGCAGAGGGTGGTGAGGTGAAGTGGTGGGAGGGGCGCTTGGGAGGAGGCGGGGAGGTGTTCTGGGGCCATCCCTGTGTTCCTCACTGGCAGCTTGCCAGGGGCACCGTGGACCTGTCCGGTGTGTAAGGAGTGGGCAGCGGAAGACACTGAGCAGGTGCCAGGAGGGTGTGTCAGGGCGCTGTTGTCTGTGCCCTTACATGGTGGTCCTGGCAGTCAGTGCTGGTCCGTGAGGGCACAGCTGGTCTTTCCTGGAGTGCTTTTGGAGGGGTGTGTTAGAGGGTGAAAGTGTGCTCAGGGCTCAGGATCTCTGGTCTCCCTCCAGCTGCAGAGAAGCTGTGAAATATGCCCTTTAAAGTGAGTGGGAGAGCCCTGGAGAGTGAGTGTAGTGGCCTGAGGCCAGAGTTGGTGGGAGTGGTGGGTACCTGCCCAGCTCATGACTGGCCTGCCCGTGCCCCTCACACATGAGGACAGGAGGCTTGAAGGCAAAGTGGGAAAATAACCCCAGGTACCCATCCACCCGGGAAGCTGGTGGAGCCGTGTATGCTAAGGTCTGGCTAAATGTCTGGGCAAAAACGTGTTGGCGGAGATAACCCTCAAAGCCTCAGTCCTTGAGATGTGCCAATTCTGAAGGGTCTTAGATAGATTTTTTATTTTGGAATAGTTTTCAATTTCCAGAAAATTTGCAAAGATAGTCCAGAATGTTCCCGTAGACCCTTCACCTTGTTTCTCCATTGTTAACATTTTACGTTACTGTGGCACCTGTGTCCCAGCTGAGAAACCCACAGACAGTCCTGGAAGTTTAGAAGTCAAGCCTCCTGGCTTTAGAAGTGTTGCAGCTGAACCAGGGGGCGTGGTTGTCACTCGTGAGGCCTGTGCCCGTCGCACCCCCAGGAGCGTGGCTGCCGCGTGCTGGTGGCCATGCCAGCTGGGGCTGGGGCTGCGCGGGTGGTGCTGGCAGGGCCGGGCCCTCCCGCTGACGTGCCATTCCGCAGGCTGTTTCCTGACTGGGTCCCTGCCCACCCCTCCACGCTCTGGTGCCACTGCCGACAGGTCTACCTACCCATGAGCTACTGCTATGCCACCCGGCTGAGCGCCAAGGAGGACCCGCTGGTCCGGAGCCTCCGCCAGGTAAGGACTCCTGGGCAGGGACCCCCAGGCTGGGGGGTCGCCCTCGGGTCCGACTGTGCATGCCTGCTGGCCTGGGACTGTGCAGGGCTGAGTTCCGAGTCGTGAGGGCGGAGCCTTCCCGGATCCTAAGTGACTGCCCAGAGGGGCTTGTGCGGTGGGACGGGCTCAGGGCCCTGGGAGCAGAGTCCCCGCGGGGAAGCAGGTCCCGAGAGGAGGCTCGGGTGCAGGATGCTCATTGGGGTGTGTGCTTGGGGGGAAGCAGGTCCCGAGAGG